GATTATTCCCAATGTCCTCTTCAGATTGGACCAAGCTTCCAGCCATCACTTACTTTTCCAAATGACAGGTGATTAAACTGCTTTCTCACTTAAATTTAGTCCACGACATGAGACTGGTTATTTTATATAAAGACTAGTGGCCCGGTGCACGAATTTGTGCACATTGAAATTAATTAGAAGAAATATTTTAATATCGCTATTCGCCCTTTCTCTATATAATAGAAGTGTCAACCAAATTCACGATCGGCAATGACAGATCGAAACACATGCATGTAATTGGCGCCAGCGAGAGCTTTATAAACTTGCTTAATTAGACCTGCTTTCTGATTTAGCTAAACTTTTTCCAGCCCAGTGAAGCACCCCAACTTCTCTTTCAGGTAATTGTCAGCAACACAACAGTAAATATCAACATGAAGCAGATTATTATTGTAGATCATGCAGGAAGAACAAAGGGTAAAATATTTAACTGCAGCAGTGTTTGACTATATTCTGCAATGAGAAAACCTGAAGTCATTTTCAAGGTCCACCATTTCTTACTTCTTTTCAGTAGGGTCAAGTTTCTAAACTTTCTAAATCTCCGTTTTCCAGCTAATGAAAAGAAAATAGGATTCCACCGAGTCTCCTATCTACCGACTCCAGGACTTCTGTGAGGATCAAATGAGATGAGGCACAGGAAAAAAGCTTCACAGACATTTGGTTAAACTGTAAAATGTTTGCACCTGGCTATAAAGCAAGTCATGTTCCTGGGCTGAAGAAACTGTCGTTAAGGAGAGGAAGCCGGGCGTTGCTATGTGATGTCATAACCTGGTGCCCACAGCCACCATTTCTGGGCTGGCCATGGAGTCTCGGCAGCCTCTGCTGGGATTCGGTGGGCTGTTGCTCCAGGGTGGTGGCAGGGCCTGTGTCCCACTTGGAGGAAGCCGAGTGTTGCTTTGTCGGCCAGGTCCATGCTGCCATTTCTCTGTAAATGGCAAGTGTGCGTCAAGGAAGCTCCTGCATTGAGCGTCTGCCCCCTAGTGGTGAATGTGCATCATAGCGACTGGTCAGGCAATGGGAAGGACATTTATCATATTAGCCATATATATATATATTTGTTTGGTTTCAATGGTGTAGAAAATGGGTTCAGAATTTAGCCTTTTGGAAAGGCCACTGATAAGGTCTCGGGCATGAGGTGAAGGATTAAAGGCATGTCTCACAGACCAGTGGGAGAACAGGAATCAGGACAGGGGCCAGGAACACATGGTGAACTACTGTACATAAGTGAAGGAAAGAGCACAGCTTGGTGGGCTTGTAAGGGCCTAGGCTTTGCCAGTGTCCAAGCTTAAATCTTCTGGGGTTCAGAATAGAAAATGCTGAATCTACTCAAATACCAGCATAACTCCATAGTGTAGGTCAGAGTGAGTACTCACCCAAGAGCCAAGTCCTGGTGTCAGCTTCCCAACAGAGGATGATTTCAAGAGAAACTTTGTTTTAAAACATCCGTTCCCTTCTACTAAAAGGTCATTTTGAGACCTAGGTTGTCTTATTGGCTGTTGATAATATCTCCTGGGAAATTTTCCTTGTAGTCTTTTCTTTGACTTCCATTCATTAAAAGGAAAGAAAAATATTTAAGGGCATATAGTACACTAGAAAAACCTTGCTAATAATGAGCTCTAAGAGTGTTTAAATTCTCCTCCTGTACTGGAATTTAATTGAAATTAATTCTACCTTGATCTCTTGATCTCCAGGGACCTCCGTGTTCTCTTCAACAAAATAAAGAGCCCGCGAGGTTTCAGCATTCTAAATTTCTTTGAATGTGTGAATGTTACTTGAGAAAAGGCAGTCACTTGAGGTTTAAACACATCGTGTGGTCTTTGAGCCAAGACAATGTCTTCAATTCCTTTTGCAAAACGCACTGTGTCTTGTACATTGTTCAACACTCAGCAGGTTCTTAATGTATAATTGCTGCCTGGACACTAGAGACAATCAATTATTATAATGATCTTCTCTTTACTGGGTTTGAGTTATGGTGCTCTTAAGGCATAACCTGCATATGCACAGTATATGCACTGTGAACCTACACAAGTGTTTAGGATCCTGGGAAGAAAATATATCATCAGAATATATTTTTATAGTAAGAACTATAATTTCTCTACATATAAAACTACAAAAATTAGTCAAAAGGAATTTATTTAGAACAGTCTGATGAAATCTAAAAGAATCTTTATTCTTATACGTTTCTTAGTATAAAATAAGGCACAGAATTTGAATTTCCTATATAATCAGCTATGCTCATACCATTTGCTTTTTCTTGTGTCACTCTCTTTGTATATATCTAGGTTAAATGAATCTAGTATAAAATAAGGCACAGAATTTTAATTTCCTATATAATCAGCTATGTGTCACTCTCTTTGTATATATCTAGGTTAAATGAATTGATTTGCAATATATGTTAAACACACAGTCCATGTGTTTGGTTAAGAGTTAAATTATATTTTTTTCAGAAATAGTTTTGTTTAGTTAAAATTTTTAAAAATAAATAAAATAAGTGGGTTTCACCATCCAGGAACCCTGAGTCCAAATTGTAGCAAACACTATGAATATAAAAGACATGTACAGGAAGTGTTGTTAAAATGCAGCTGTTCTATAAAACACAGGGAAGGAAGAGATGATCCTGGAGTGTGCTAGGAGGAGCAGCTTTCCATGGCAATAAAACTAAACTCAGGTGTAAGCAGAACATTGTGAACATTCCAGAAGGAAATATAAAAGTCAATCAGAAAATGCAACTCACAGTGCGAGTTCCATAGATACATTCTCAAGCCTCCCCAGTGCTCTCTGAAAATTCCCCTTTAAATTCTTAACCCTTATACTTAACTAATCACCTACAATATTAATGTGATTGCATATGTTAGAGCATCTGGAGGTCCCCTTCTTACCGCCTCTGCCAGGATTTCAGTGCCTGCCTTTGTATTTGGGTTTACAGCTTGGGACTATAAACACACGGGAACAGTATGTTTATAGTCAGAGACTAAAGAGTAAAGGATAGAGGTAGGCTTAATAGACAAGTGGTTTGTTCACATCCAGTTAAGACCAGCTGGTATTAGTCTCTGGAAGAATGAAGGTTTGCCTATTGTTCAACTGGAGAAAACTGGTAGTGAAAACTGGTAGTGAGCATATGTGACAAATCCAAAATGTCTTGTGACATAGCAGTCAGTATCAGATTTATGTGGCTATTTTTTTTTAGCCCAACAACCGCATTTATCACATTAAATCAATGATGTTTATTCAAATTATTCTGTTGGGATAGGACTTGGAGGGTATATAGATCACCCTCTAGTGATAAATCATTCCAACTGCAGACTTTTGATCCTTGAAGTTGAAGAAAAGAGTGAAAGGATGTAAATATGAAGGAATTACTTGCTAGGCCATGGTCTGAGAAAAGTGCTTTTATTAGGATTTATCATTTATTTTGCCTAGCATATAGAAAACTGCCAGCCTACTAGACTGTTTGCATTATTTCTTTTAAAATATATATTTTTTATTGATTTCAGAGAGGAAGGGAGAGGAAGAGAGAGACAAAAACATCAATGATGAGAGAGAATCATTGATTTGCTGCCTCTTGCACACCCCCTGTTGGGGATCAAGCCCGAAACCTGGGCATGTGCCCTGACAGGGAATCGAACTGTGACCTCCTGGTTCACAGGTTGATGCTCAACCTCTGTGCCATGCCAGCCCAGCTGTTTGCATTTTTTCTTTCCCAAGAAGAAAATACCCCCTATTTCTCTGATTGTAGAATAATTTTTGAGCTTTATTAACTGGAATTACATTCCCAAATATGGCCAAAACAACTTATAACTTTTCCCCCTTAAATATAGAGTATGCCTTTGGAATCATTAGAATTCAAATATCATCACTGATGATAGAAGAGAAATGAGGCAAATTTTTTTTTAATCCTCACCCAAGGATATTTTTCCATTGGTTTTTAGAGAATGGAAGGGAGGGGAAGAGAGTGAGAGAGACACATTGATTGGTTGCCTCCTGCATGCACCCTGACCAGGGCCAGGGATTGAGCCTGTAACCAAGGTATGTGCCCTTGACTGGAATCGAACCTGGGACCCTTCAGTCTGCGTGCTGATGCTCTATCTACTGAGCCAAACCAGCCAGGGCGAAGCAAACTTCTTTCAATGATTTAGTTCAATATCTTCTATGCTTAGATCTTGGTTACAATGCTAAGAAAGAGAATTCTCAGGGACATGAGGTATACTAGCCCTTATAAACTTTTTATTTAGGCTATAGGGACAGGGTGATATTCTTGCTATAAGCTAAGCAGGGTTCATAAGGCAGATTTCAGACTCAAAAAGGAAAAGTAGCCATTGCTCACAGTGGACAGAAATGTCATCTAGAAGTAGCTCAGCAGTTCCTCAAACAATTTGCATGAACATTGGAATGTGTTTTATTGAGAGAAACTGTATGATCAGGACAGAATAATATTTTGCTTTTTTCCTAAAGATAATTAGTAATGAGATTCTATCAGGTTAGCCATGAAGGACTTTTTTTTTTTCACTATAATATGTAATACTCATTTATAGGCCAGAATAAGGATTTCTCTAAACTGCACAAATATTCTCTGGTACTATTAGACACCTTGGGGCTTATGTAAGTGGTTTAGCACCGGGCTTTCTGGCCCAAAGCTGAGACTGGCACCACATGAGTTTGCCTGACACGTTCTAGGGTATGCTGCACAGCCCAAGCTCCCAGGCAACCTTTCGTAGTGTGATTTGAAATCCACTTGAAATTACATGAGACGTTGGAGCTTCATCTGGAGGCGCCTAATCAGAATCTGTCTTGCATTTAGTAGCAATGAAATGAGCCCACTCACTGTGTCAGAATTCATCTCTAAACTACAGAATGCACAATGGCCTAAGATCAATGCCCACCCTCCGGATTGGGCTTACATGCTTGAGAGATTGATGGCCAGGCTGCTTCACCCATTACTTTCGTCACTGTGTTTTCTCTTCCAGGGCCTGCTCTTCCTAAGACTCATGTGAAGACGGCCTCTCTTGGGCTGGCTGGGAAGGCAAGGTCTCCTTTGCTTCCTGTGTCTGTGCCAACGGCCCCTGAAGTGTCTGAGGAGAGCCACAAACCAACAGAGGATCCAGCCAATGTAAGGGCGCCTGCCCCCCGAAATTCCCGCTGCGTCACGTGAAGCAGGGACTAGGGCTGTGCAATTGAGCCTAACCCAACCAGAACTCTCCATTAACCGCACCCATCGTTGCTCTCACTGTTGTTTTGTTCTGTTTTTATGCACTTGAATGTGAAGAGTTTGAACTCTGAGGCAAGATTGTATGTGGGATTTAATTAAATTTAAAAATTGCTGGTACTTAAAGGCAATCCTAGAAATACAAGCAGGTAGCTACAGAATGTGTGACTTTACATACACACCTATATAATAGATATCTATACTGAGTGGCCAGATTATTATGACCACCCCATCAGTACTTCATTGACACTTCCAAAAATACTGAATATTGAAAACTTCCTAAGCAAATACTCTCAAGGTTTTATTATTATTATTATTTGCATAACTAATTCACTTCATTGTACTGATGGGGTGGTCATAATAACTTGGCCGGTCATAATAATCTGGCCACTCAGTGTATATATGTGTGTTTGGATGTTATTATATTTTTATATATAATATGTATACCAGGTCCTCAAATATCATATTTTTCAGTGTTGTTTCATTATAATGTTGATGAGATGCCATAGGAATTGAACTCTTGTTTATATCAATTAGCCTATAGTAAAATTGGTTTCTTCATATGTGATTTCACTTAAAGTTGCAGAACTCATCAATGACATTAAGTGAAGACTTACTGTGTGTGTGTGTGATTTCACTTAAAATCATCAATAGAAATATGGAATTGAGAAGAAGATATTACACATAAAAATGAAGAAGCTAAAAAGTAATCAAATTAGAAAACTCAGAAAGAAAAATCAATGCAGACAAAATAATCTAAATTTTGAGAGAACAACATTTTTTTTCCAAAAATGTACTATGAAAGTATTTTAAAAGGTGTTGCCTAAAGGCAGCAGTTTAGAAAACTCTAGAGTGTTTCTGAATATAATTCAAGAGAAAACCTTTAAAAGAAGGCCAAGGAACTAACATATGAGATACCGAGAGAGAGAGAGAGAGAGAGAGAGAGAGAGAGAAGATTGAGAGATTCTAAGCCTTTGTAGACTTACTGAATCAAATCCCTGATAGCTGATACTCTAGTATTACTAATGACGTGGTGTTAGTGACTCACAGTGAGTGAGAGCTATGCAGAGTATGTTCACTAAGAGTCCTGCAGTCTAGACTCTTTATTTTATCCACCAATAAAATCCTGCCATAAGGTTACCTTTACAACTATGCATATAGCCAACTCTGTTTATGGTGAGAATCCTTTTTTCCCACATATAAACTGATGCCATAATCCTCAGACTTTTCATTGGTCAAGGCAAAGCCCATCAAGTTCCCACACAAAAGGGTGCCTAGGTTGTGTTACAAAGAAAAGAAACCTGGGGGTGTAATTCTGCTCGGATTCTCATGGTGGCCTCTGGAAAGGAAAGGAGCCAATGTATTGAATATGTACCTTGTGCCACACTGTGATAGGCACTGAACATGCCAAGATGCTTCACTACAGGGATTAAGCTTGTGAAAGAATTTGCAATCATTTAACCACACCCTTTAATTATATCCCCATCAATGATTATATTTTGAGCACAGCCCCTGATTATGGGCCACTGTGTCTCCCTTGAGAATACAGAGTGAACCAGCTAGACATGGCCCCTGTCTTCACAAAAGCATGTGTGGCTATTCACCTATACCAGTGGTCGGCAAACTGCGACTCACGAGCCACATGTGGCTCTTTGGCCCCTTGAGTGTGGCCACGAAGTTTCAATCGCACTGTACGTGCGCGCCCGCACGTGGTATTTTATGGAAGAGCCTCACTCAAGGGGCCGCAGTTTGCTGACCACTGACCTATACTAACCCTTTGCTCTCTCATTCTTTCTGCAGGTGTACGAACAGGATGATTTGAGTGAACAAATGGCAAGTTTGGAAGGGCTAATGAAGCAACTTAATGCCATCACAGGCTCGGCCTTCTAACACCTATTGCCGGGTAGATGGGGTGAATTTTCCGGGAACTTTGCAGCATATCAATGACCCATCAACAGCACACCTGTGTCCAAGAACTCCCACCAGTGCACAGGCCAACTGTCAGGACCACTCAGTTCCAGAAGAACCTGAAGCAGTGCAGGAGGAGGAGTAATCGTCCCTTCTGGCACAGGCATCAGGAATTCGAATATGATGACAATGGGTTCCCTCCACAAACACAAGGATACGTCCTCACCGCACTGTCGGAGCTGAAGCTGCAAGAATAGTCCTGGGTCTTTCCCGCCGCAGTGATCTCACTGCCACAACTAATGCTTATGTTTCCTTCATCCAGGCCTGTCATCTCCTTACGTGTAGGTCTAGTCTTACAAAATGCAAGTGCATTACTTAAGCCTGTACCCTGCCATGGCAAACCAGTGCGAGTTCATTCTTTCATTTGCAACTTACAAGTTCAAAGCACCCCCAGGAATTCTCTCGACATAGCACCAAAGGATTGGAAGTTTTCCTGACAGCACAAAAAGTCAACAAGTAAACAAACAAAAGGCAGCAAATGCTTGTGTTTTGTAACTCGGTCATTCCTCTTGCCCAGGTGGTGGGTATTAGCAAGTGGCTGTAACACTCACCCATTTTTAGCGAGTATTTGTAAGTCCACCCGTGGTTAACACTTACCATTACGTCTGGAGAACAGGGACATAAAAGTCTGCACCCACAGCAGCAGTCCATTTCCTGTAAGGGGATAAAATATGCAGTCTTCTCAGACACGCGGTAATTATGTGCTTAAGGCCATAATAGGACACTCTTCGATTTGGGTGGCTTTTAGGCCATACCACACTGTGATGACATTTCAAAGATGCACCAAGGCCATCTTCCTCAGGAGTCTGGCTGAAAGAGTTCCCCCGTCCTCCCCACCCCTCCCTGAGTTCTCCTTGGCAGCCAGCCTTGGGCCAGGGGGCCAGCTCCACACATCACATGGCCTCCTGACCAAGGTCCCTATAACCTTCTGCAGAAATGACAGACTCCTTGAGAACAGGCCCCGAGGAAGGGAAGGAAGATGGAAGGCAGTTTCAAATATCAAGTGACTTGATGTCACTTCCACCAACAGGGTTCCCACTGGCTTAGAGTGAGCAGTATTGGTAAGTGGCAACCAACGGGCCCTGTTGTCAAGGGAACCTCCTATCCCCACCCCAGCTCCCACCCACTGCCCCCAGCTTCCCAGAGTCAGAGAGGAGCAGAGGGTGAGAAGCCACTGGACACCTCTGACACATCCTAATTCCGGTAGCTGCTTGTCAAAGCTGCGTTCATTGTGAGCTAGAATCTTAAGCTTTTATTGCCATGTTTGTCAACCATTTGGAACTACGTGAAATTAAGAACATTTTGAGTGCAACCTTTTAGTTTCTGAATTTTCAGCTGCATTTGGAATTAATCCCTGTTTATGCAGCTGAATCGCCAAAAGAGAGCTAGTTTGCATATTTATCAGTTAGGCAACTTGAAAACCCAATAGGAAAGTTTCCGCTGAATTATTCCTTTCAGCTCTGCCTTTGATTTCAAGCTTGAGTAGGTCATAATTTTAAAAGAGCATGGAAGGATAGAATCTTTACAACCTAATAGCTCCTTTTATTAGGTGGGTAATTATATACAAATCCCTGAATGAACTATTTTGAGCAAAATGGCACTGTAACAGAAGTAATAATTCAGATTATTTTTTTACAGTTTTATGTCGGGAAGGAGATCTGGTGTCAGAGAGAGAGAGAGGGGGCTTGTTCAAATGGTTCATTAGGAAGTCCGGTCCATTGGTGAAATCGTTCCTTCAACAAGAGTGCTTGTTCAATTTACTAAGACTTTCTTGAAGTCCTTCTGAAGAGCTACATGACGTTATCCTGCGGGCTGTATTACTCTTATTTAACATCTGGGCGCTTAGTAGGACCCATTGACCTGGAACAAGGCATTTCATATTGAATCTCCAGAAAGAATTCATTACTTCAAAAGAGAAAATGTTCAGTAGACTAGTCTTACCTTCTCGGGGTCCTCGAATGGCTTCCCCTTTCTAATATTCACAACACTCAAGGCACTTGACATGCAAGAAAGGGCCCCCTGGATGCTCAGTTTGTAGTAGACTGCCAATCTCAGACTTCAGGGGTTGAGGCCCATCTTCAATCTGTAGGCTGTATCTGAACAATCAAGACAACTATCATGTTTACAAAATTCTAGACTCTTCAAATCAAAGTCATTGACCTTAGGAAATAACATTTTTTTAAATACACAAAAATGCACGTTGTTTTTAGTGGGGGGTATATTTCTGATGCATACTCTCAAAACAAATATAATGGTTCATTTTAGTAATTATCGGCAATGTTAATATGCCTCAGCTCCATGCAGTGAATATATGGAAGTATCCATTTAAATTATCTCAAGAGACTATTGTGTGATTTACCCAGTGGTTTCAATATACAATGAGTTCACCACAACTCCCATACAACTCTGTTCCCCACTCAAATAGCTCACATATGTGTCCAACTGCCTGACCAAGTTTACAGGTGACTTTTAAACTTCCCAATCCCCTGATCTCTTGACAAGAGGAAATCTGGGAATATTGCAAGATTGCCTCCATTTTGCTCCTACTCTGAGTCTAGCCCATGACATACAGGGCTCTTGAAGCTCCTAAATCTGATTCCCATAGGGCGATGCGTGACAGCCATCCAGCAATGCTGCCGCCAGGACTCCCTTCTCCCTGCAAAAGAAGCCAATAAACCTTGGCAGGGCATGCTCGGGCCTCCCCTGCCCTGTGCTGACCTGTCAGGCGAGAGCTGCTTCGGGAAAGCTTTCGGTATTTTTATTTTGCATTTCTTTCTGATAAAGCTCGTAGGTAGTTCAAAAGGCATAAGGCATGTTTGGATGATGCTCTAGCCAAAAGTTAAGTATTTCTCAGTGATTCACATTCAGTAAGAAACCAGTCATAGCTACCTCCGTGTAGAACAGAGTTAGAAGCTTCTAGAATATTTAATGGGACTTTACATTTGGGTGTTATAAAATACACATTCAATTGAGCAATCTGGAAAAAAAAATAAGCATATCAAGCTTTGGCACTCACTGGCTTTTCCAATAAATAATCTCTAAGTACAGGTCTTTCCAGAAACTTTTGTAGTCTGTGCTTGAAGACGGTTACTCATTTTTATCCCCTCCCCCTTTTTTTATAGTTTATTGCTCTTTTAGAGACAGGGAGGAAGGGAGAGGGAGAAGCATCAATGTGAGAGCATAACATCGATAGGCTGCCGCCTGTATGCCCCCTACTGGGACTTAGCCTATAACCCAGTCATGTGACCTGACTGGGAATTGAACCAGCAGCCTTTTGGTGCACAGGAGGATGCCCAACCAACTGAGCCACACCAGCCAGGGCTCTCCACCCTTTGGATTTATCTGTCTGTTGACTTTGTTTAAAGAAACATCTTCAGGTCTTCTCTACTTTTTTTAAAATATATTTTTATTGATCTCAGAGAGGAAGGGATATGGAGAGAGAGAAACATCAATGATGAAAGCAAATCATTGATCGGCTGCTTCCTGCACCCCCCCTGCTGGGGATTGAGCCCACAACCCAGGCATATGCCCCTGACCGAAATCAAACCCAGGACCCTTCAGTCCACAGGCTGATGCTATCCACTGAGCTAAACCAGCTAGGGCAGTTTTTCTCTACTTTTAATAGAGTGTCTCACACATGGCAGTTGAACTGTAATTCTGACCAAAAAAAAGTCCTCTATAAAGAGGTCATCTTTCCATTTTAGATAAAATTGTAGCCCAGACTCAGATTTCTTATAATTTTAGTGTCTCTTTTTAGTCTTGAGAAAAAAAAACAAACAGAAAAATTCCCTAATTTTAGATGTGTTTTTAGAAAACAAAATCATCTGAATTTTGCAACAGTTATGGGACAAGATTGCTTTTCCTCCCTCTTACCCTTTGCTTCATGCAACCGCAGACCACCCGCAAGGCCAGGTTAGTATCCCCACACCGAGCCCACCACATTCTGGAGCGACGGAAGCTCTCCTACACTCAGACCTGCAATCTCTCTCTTTTTAAAAATTATTCCAAAGCAGCACTTTACTCACAATTCGTATTTCTCTAGCAACTTTCAGAAATCACTTTAATAATGGACAGAAGAGATTACCCCTGGATACTAATGTTTTAAAGGAAATTGGATACCTGGGAACGTCACAGATAGGAGTTTTGGATGATAGTCCATTCTATTGAAAAGTAGGCGCCCCCCTGTCTCAGTGTAACTTGCCGTCCAAGTAGCTGTTTCCAAAAGGTATTGATTCGGAAAAGAAATGCCTGAGTGTTTCCTGGTCAGTGAGGTGATGTAGGAGACCAACACCACGCCCACAGCAACAGCGAATAGCACCTCTGCCCTGCCCAGGCCTGCTGCGGGTAACGCTCATGTGGCATGCTTCTAGGGCACTCTCGGAAGGGTTTCTCCTCCTGCCCTCAGTGGACAGCCTTCGGACATTGTCATCCTATGATTTGGGGTTGGTAGGAGAACAACAGCAAAACTCTACAAGATGTCAGAAACGCAGACGTATGGGCCAAGGGATCTCCCTGTGTGGAAAGTATTTTCAGATGCAAGAAAGGAATGTTGAGGAGGAGGAGAAATGCTGTTTTTTATTATTATAGGGGAAACCTGACAATTCTGAACTTTATGAATTGTCAGCTTGTTTGGGGGCCGGGTGGGTTGGGTATGGGGTGTACTTTTTATAAGTAATATTTAATTTATTATTTAGAGTGGCTTCTTTTTGGATAATTTATGGGGGGGAAAAAAGGGAGATCTGGTTGGGATGTAGATAAAGCTGTTAAAGCTGCAGTGTTCCGTGTCTTAGAGGGACCAGTTTGGAAATGAATTGTCCACCTGCTGAGTATGAGAATAGCCCAGGCAAAGCCTCCACCAAGCTCCGAAACTCCGTCATCTCTGCCTCCTCCCTTTTCAGGGTCATTCAAACAAGACAGCACCACACCCGAAATATGCTGATAGCATTTCCCAGACCGATGCTACTCATCCTCTCTAAGGGCTTTGCAATTCAAGCAAATTGTTAATGTGCTAGCGGTAGGTTTATGTGGTAGAAATGGGTATACTACAGCTTTAACTAGCCTTCGTAGAAAAAGAAAATTTTTGTTGCAACAAAACACCTTTGAAAAAAAAAAAGAAGGTATTTTGAGCCTACAAAGAATTTCTTTAAATTGTCAGACTCTAGCATTGTTAACCAAATTAGACTAGTGATTGCAATATTTAAGTGTAAATCTTGTTCTATGAGAAAGGAGACTTGCTTACAGTTTAAAACAATGACTGTTTCTACAAGATCTTGTATACTACTACTCGAGGAAAAGGGGTTTTGTAATCACTGTAGAACAGTCTCATATTCATTTTTTATAGAAATGGTATTCCAATGGTGCATTTTTTGTTTAATAAATAAAGTTTTGATACAAAGTTCTTTTGTCATGTGTGGGTTTTTTTATATATTAAATGGTTGACACAAACTCACCTGACCCTTACCCCTGCCTGTCTGTTCTTATCTGCAGGAAACATACTACCTTTTTTGACATGTGGCAGAAGCTCTGCTTGGATCCTTAGACCAGTTTTATGCACATGCTCAGTATGCTTCAACCCCAACAGCCAATGCCCATGTCCTTTTGTTTGAGAGCAGCCTTAAGCTTCCAGAACTTGCTTTGCCCACATGCACGGGGGAGCTGGCGATGCCTGGTCACATCTTACCCATAGCTGATAATTACTCCAGCCCCTTTGCCCCTGATGGAGACAATCTGAGGTATAATCCAACTGCCTACTGTTATAGGCAGTGAGACATGAGCAGAGCAGGGATGACGGGCCATGTACAGAAGGCGGAACGCCTGGGGTGCCTGGCAAAGGACAATTGTAGGGTGGGGCCTGGCCCCCAGGGTGACCTTTCCTCCCCTAGCATATCGCTGGCCATTCAGTTTGGCCCCCCTGACCTTTCCCTCCTAGAAATAACATCCAGGCCTCAGTTATATTTCAGCTCCTGGCTCAGAAAAGCAACAAAACCAGATAAGCAATGCCACGGCTGACCTCAGGACCAGCCGCACCGAATAATGACCCCTGCCCTGGAGCTGACCTATCACTCAGCTCCTGAAAGGCCACACCTGGAAAGCTGGTGGATAGCCTATTGAGATCTTCCCTGGGACAGTGGTTCTCAACCTTGGCTGCACATTAGAATCGCCTGGGAGTCTTTTTAAAATCCTGATTTCTGGGCCTCATCCTCCAGAAATTCTGTTTCTTTGTTACTAATGTTGTGGCCCCACCCCATATAAAGAAACAGAATTTATGGAGGATGAGGCCCAGAAATCAGGATTTTAAAAAGATTCCCAGGTGATTCTAATGTGCAGCCAAGGTTGAGAACCACTGCCCTGGGACCTCCTGGAAGCGTGCCCCTGCCTTTCCCTTTGCTTTCTCCACCCCCACCCCCAGGTGCTTCACCTTTACCTTCCTCACTTCTGAGCTCCAAGAGAGCTTGTTTCCCCAGCCCGTTTTTTCTCTGGATTACTTCCACCTCTGTGATTTTCTAAAGAAATGCTCTCTTGTAGTTTGAGTCTTGCCTCTGAATTCTGACCTAGACACAACTCAAGTACCGAGGTTGCTAAACCCAGGTCCGGATTGGCCCCACTGGCCTAACACCTGGTGCGGTCTCTTACTCCCACCACAGATGGATGACTGTGCAAACAACAGGTGGCCTTCCTCTTAAAGAGAATGAGACTCTGACACAAGCTACACTGTTACATTTATTTGGTGTTGGTGTACTGAAGACATTATGCTAAACGAAATAAGCCCACAACCAACGAACAAACCGTGTATGATTCCACTCAGATGAGGTACCAAGAGTAGTCAAATGTTTAGACCCAGAAAGTAGAACAGTAGTTGCCAGGCGCTGGGAAGATAAGGGGATGGGGAGTAATTGCTTACTAGGTATGTTTCAGTTTGGGAAGATGAGACAGGTTCTGGAGATGGATGGTGGTGATGGTCGTCCAACAACACGAATGTACTTAATGCTATCCAACTGGACTGGACACTTAAAAATGGTTAAAATGGTAAACCTTAGGCTATGTATGTTTTACCATGATTTTTTTAAATTTCCATATAAGGATATTCAAGAACCAACTTCTATAAATGCTGACATTTTTATTCTGACTCTTGAAATATAAATATGTTAACACCAAAATATTTAAGAAGATTGATATGCAGGAAATAAAAGCAACATATTTACCACAGTCTATTTTATCTCACACATATTATACTTCCACATTCAATTTATATAAAAGAATTCTATCCATGGAAACCTTCTTATTAGAAGAAAAATAAAATGAATTACCAGGGTCTGACCCAGAGAGGGGTAGGTGAAGGGTTAAACTACTCTCTCCAGTGCAAATATTTTTATGGGAAGGAGTTTGGAGAGGCCAAAGAATAATATGCTCTCTACCTTAAATGTCCTATGATGCTACAATGAAGAAGGACAGATTAGTATTAAATCACATTACAGGTGAATTTAATTGATCTGAAAGAACGTGGATACTCAGAGATTTACCCAGAGCTGGAATACAAAAAGGCTAACATTGCCGGTGTTTCATGGAATTTTCTTCAATTCATTGATAATGCATCTGTTCCATTTTTTAATGTGTTTTAAAGGTGCATCTATACTTCTTAAAAATACTTCCTGATTGAGGTTAGCGATGTGCTTGTCTCCTCCCAAGACCACACTAAATTACAACTAATTATAGAACCACCGCTCTTAAGAAACACCTGAAGGCTGCCTGAACAGAGCACCTGTAACTTAGGGAGTGAAGAAGAGCCACGCTGAGACTGAAACAGGCCGGGAGGAATATTTTTAGACACAGAAAGTAGAACAGTAGTTGCCAGGGGCTGGGAAGGGAAGGGATTGGGGAGGGAGGGGCCCCAGTGGCTGGAAGAGGAGTCCCCCACAACCCCTGGCTGTGAAAGTGGAGATTTCATCTGGGTGAGGCAGAGGCGTCCTTCTAAAGCAGTGGTTCTCAACCTTGGCTGCACATTAGAATCACCTGGGAATCTTTTTAAAATCCTGATTTCTGGGCCTCATCCTCCGGAAATTCTGTTCCTTTGTTACTAATGTTGTGGCCCCGCCACATAACAAAGAAACAGAATTTCCAGAGGATGAGGCCCAGAAATCAGGATTTTAAAAAGATTCCCAGG